ATGAATAAAAAATTCATAATCCCAAAAATTTTATATTTTCCTTTTATGCATGGTGATATGTTATCAGGAAATAATTTTATTAACAATTATTTATCTTTTTATTTGAATATTAATAATATTGTTTTTACTATAAATAAAGACTCTATAGAAATACCATTAGTAGAAAATTATAAACATATATGTGACTTTGATTTTTGACCTGAAACTAAGAAAATAGAAATTAAATCAATTAGTAAAACACACTAGTTATATAAAATCTTAAAAGAAAATTTTAGTGAGGAACCATTAAAATTATAGTCAATAAGTCCTAGTTTCTGTAATTTAAAATTTTTTTATTCAAAGAAAATAATTAGAGTAAAACCAATATCTATACTAAATAAGAGATAAATGATCATATTATACTAAAAATCAAAGAATTTTTAGAATAACTAGAAGATAAAAAAACAACTTCAAAGTTTTCTAGATCTTTTAATTATGAAGATAATTCATTAAAAATCCCTCTAAAAAAAAATTTACAAGAAAAACTAAAAAAGGAAATACTTTTTTATTGGACAAAAGATGATTATGATATTATTAAACAAATAAAATCATATCTTAAATTTATACCTAAAGTAATCTTCCTAAACCAAGAGAATTACTTATTCTTGAAAAGGATGTTTCAAATCAACATTAGGGGATGTGTACTTAAATCAAAAAGCACATAATAACAAATTAATTTGTGGTTATAATTTAGAAAATTTTAAACAAAATGAATTAAAATATATTATATTTGAAAAAGAGTTAGTTGCTGTAAAAAATGTTGTAACTAGATTTCATTTTATCTAGCACCTGAAAACTTTATCATTAGAGCTAATAATCAGGCAGTTAATGTTTTAATAGATACTGGAGCAACTATATGTAGTTGTAGAAGTAAACCTTTACCATTAAAAAAAGGGAGCCAATGAAACACCATATAGCAGTAATAGGAATCAATGGAAAAGCAAAAAATGTTTTTATTTATTTTATGAATAAAAAATTCATAATCCCAAAAATTTTATATTTTTCTTTTATGCATGGTGATATGTTATTAGGAAATAATTTTATATACAATTATTTATCTAAATTTGATTGTAAATCAAGATTTTGACAAATAATGCTAATCGAAGAGTCAAAACCCTTGACATTTTCTAGTGTACCAAAAGACCATTATTAGTGGAAAGTTATGCTTTTTGGACTTTGCATAAATCTTTCAAAGATGGATAGACACAATCTTTGGAAAGTATAAAGATTTTTATGTTGTATACATTGATGATATATTTATATTTTTGAAACATTAACTAAGTATAAGAAACACCTAAATTTAATAGCTCAAGATTTTATAAAATATGGTATAATATTAAGCCCTTAAAAGATAGAACTTGAAAAAAATAATATAGAATTATTAAACGTAAATTTATCCTCAAAAGGTCTTACTTTACAAAATCATATTATAGTAAAAATTAAAGAATTTTTAAAATAACTGGAAGATAAAAACAACTTCAAAGTTTTTTAGATCTTTTTAATTATGGAAAGATAATCCATTAAAAATCTCTTTAAAAAATACTTTACGAGAAAAACTAAAAAAAAAAAAATACTTTTTTACTGGACAAAAGATGATTATGATATTATTAAACAAATAAAATCATATCTTAATTTATACCTAAAGTATATCTTCCTAAACTAGGAGAATTACTTATTCTTGAAACAAATGCTTCTGATCAACATTGAATGATGTGTACTTAAATCAAAAGTACATAATAAAAAATGAATTTGTGATTATAATTCAAAAAAATTTAAACAAAATGAATTAAAATATATTATATTTGAAAAAAGTTACTTGCTATAAAAAATGTTGTAACTAGAATTTATATTTATCTAGCACCTGAAAACTTTATCATTAGAACTGATAATCAGGCAGTTAAAACTTTCTTAAAAAAAAGAAATTAGAAATCAATCCTAGAAGGATTAGATGGTATAACTTTTTAAGTCAATATAATTTTTCTATTGAATTTATTAAATGATCTAATAATGTGCTTATTGATTTTTTAAGCAAGCCTAAAGGATCGAGGTAAAAAAACCTTTAAAACAAATTGGTGATGGATTACTATAAAAAAGAAGCAACCCAAACAAGTTTCTTCTCTTAAACATGTTAATCCTAACCAAGGATTAAGATTTCAGTTCTTTAACTAACCATTAGTTTCATATCTTAATCCAAGATATTTCTTTTACCCACAACCATACATGAAAATACCAGAATTTCATCACAACAAATAATGGAATCCTATAGATTATAACAATCTTCTTAAGATCCAAACCAATGGACCCTAATGTTATATTTTGAAATTCTTTAGAAAATAAAAAATTTATTGAAACCACAATAAAATTTTCTAGAAATTATATAATCACATAAATGAAGTTTGGAAAGTCCAACTTCAAGGTAGTAAATCGATTTTTAGAAAAAATATGACTAAGCTTGCGAAAGGATTAACCAAACAGGTTAATAAATTCTAAACTTTTCGAAATCTTGTTTTACAAAGCCTAGCTTTATGAGACTATGAGGAATCACAAATTTTTAAACTTGATGAAAAAGAATACTCCATTGAAGAGATAAATAATCTCTTAAATATTTGTGATTTTCTTCTAAAAGAAAAAATCATTTTTTCTCTTTTAAAAATTCAAAAAATTCTTTTATATAAAAATGCTAACAAACTCTTACCCAATGAATTTTTAATAGAATAAAAAATTCAATCAGAGATGAAGTAGATGATCTAGTTCATGAAAATTTCAAGCATATTTCTTTTTATTGGTTTAGAAAATCATGGAATTTCATGAGGTTTCCTAAAATTAAATTTAGATTAGATCATGACTCTTAGATATAATCAACATCAAAATGAGTTTAGTAGGAATAATTATTTTTCAAAATTTATCTTTTCATTTAATAAGGCATTTTCTTGCCTTTATCAAATAAATTTTTTTTATTATGTTAAAAAGGATGAGTATTTTTCTTATGTATATATTAAAATAACTAATTTAATGAGACTCTTTCAAAAGAGAGATTTTTTTAGCTATATCAAATCTAAGAGGTCAAAAAGTACTTCTATGGATTAGATTTATTAGTACCAAATGAAAATAAAAAAAACTAAAATTTGCTCTTAATTTAATAGAGCAAGTTTATATAGTTTCCAAGCTAGACTTATTATAATGGAAAAGGTAAAAGAATTATTAAATGAAATTTCATCCAAATTGTATAGGCTCTTTATATCACTGGTACAATAGATGGTAAAAGGATTTTTGTGAAAAAATTTTATGATAGAAATAATTCAGAACCAGAGCATTAAGCGGTAGAACTTCTAGAAAAAATATATAGAATGAAAGATCTAGATTATTCACTTTCTTTATTACTCTAGTAACAAGAAAGATAGAAATAATTGAATAAGTCAAGAATAGATTCACTAATTTCTTTTAATCCAAAAAATAAAGAAGTTATAAATTTGGCAAACCTTTAGAAGGAATAACAAGACAACAAGTCAATATTTGCTAGATGTCCAACAACTAGTTTACCATCAGACCAACTATGGATAAAAAGACAACAAGTCAATATTTGTTACTAAAAAGTCGGATATGTATCACTATATCATAAATAATTGTCGCTATCTCTTTTTATAATTATCAAAGTTTAATTATATCAAATCCAATAAATGCTACCTAACCTAATAAATAAAACAATGATCATTGTAAGAAAGGGTAAAATGAGATACGATGGCTTAGGAAAAGCAGACTCTCATCCCTTCTATCTCTAATAACTTTCTCCTCTCTTTTGTATATCTCCCTCACTTTTTTTGTAAGTTGGTATCAGAGCTGTCGATTATAACCCAATGGCTCATATACCTTTCTTGGTTTGGATGGTTTACTCTTATAATTAAAGAATTAAACAAAACAAAAAGTTAAAATATTTTAAAAGTTTTTAAATTATTTTATTTTTTTTAAAATAAATATTTATATCTTTGTTACATCTAAATAATTTTTATTTTTTAATTTGTATCTATGTAAATTTTTATTTCAAATGAAAAATTAATTTATATTAAAAAAAGTTTTTAGGTATAAATTAAAGTTAAAGACTTATTTACCTATAAATTAAAATTTAAGAATTTTTTGAGTAAAATAAAAAAATAAAAGTTTATCTAAATAAAATAATAAAATTAAAAAATATTTTTTTATAATTTTAACCAAACAAAAATGTCATTTGGTTGGAACAAGATATACCAAAATTGGCTCAAAAATTAAACACACATAGCAGGAATGCTCTTAATAAGAGTGAATATTTAGTCGGTTCAATTTATTCGATTATAAAAATTTAAAAATTAATTAAATTAATTTAATTTATAAAAAACTTAATCTATGGGGTAAAAATCGAAACAAAACAGACTTGAGTAAGTCAGTTTCACCGATTTTTGAGGGATTTTTGGTTTTTATTAGCAAATTCAAATTGAAAAAGAAAAAAAAAGAACAAATTGTAATTATAACTTCCTATCAAAAAGTTTTTAGAAAAAGAGAATTTTTTTTTACCAAGCCAGCATGTTCCCATTATGATAATCCACTTTTATAGTGGCTACTGTACAGTACATGAATCACAACTCGACCTCTACTCATAGCTAGCTTCGCGTGACAACACATGACAACACATGCACCACTTACTCATTATATAAACAAATATCTCAATAATAAAAAAATTCAAGAAAACAAATAGAATACCCCTGGGCTAGATATTATTGAATTCACTTTTAAGATCACAAATTCTTTGACTTAAGATATCATTATTATCAAATAAACACAGGGAAAGAAAGACCCATTTCCTGTTCTGCTGTTCACGGAAAATACAAAAAGCAAAGGCAATTGACCTTTGATAAATTTTTGAGTCGTAGAGGTCTGGTGGAGCAGTGGAGCCGTCGATGGTCGTGCTAGACTTGCAAAGATGGGGCAAATCAGGGGCAGGCATAGTATGAGGAGAGCTGAGTGTGAGGCGAAGAGTTGGAGAGACTGGGAGGCAGAGAGTTAGGAGATCTTGAGCTTGAGAGATCGAGAGCCGACTGACGAGAGGCGGACAGGCGCCTGGCGGAGAGCGAGAGAGGGGTTGAGGACTGAGAAAATGTCTGAAATTTTGTCTGGCAGAGAGGCTAGGGATTTTTTTTTTCGGTTTAGGGTAAGTAAAAATAAAATGTAAAAAAAAAACAAAATAAAAAAAATCGATTTTTTTCTATAGATTCATTCATGATTTATAAAACTGCAAATGGATCAATTATATCCATTTGTAGATAAAAATTGTAGATAAAAATTAATGAATTATTATTTTATAAACTGACTGTCGGGATTTTACATTCTATAAATGAGATTAAAAAATTTTAATAGATGTTTATTTAATAATTTATTTATTTATTAATTTTTGTAAATACATTTAAAGAAATATTTGTTAATTTGTTAATTAATATGTTTTTTTTTTTTGAACTATTTAATTTGTTTGTTAAGTCTAAAATTTCTACATAGAATAATTTTTCAAACCAAGAGTCCAGGACCATAGACACATATACGTAATGTCATTGTGTCCTTCGATTTACATTTTAATTTTCAGATTTCGATAGCATTTTTCAAAATTAATCCCTTCGTATATTTATTGAAATTGTCAGAAAGGAAAAAAAAAAATCAAAGATGAGTTGATAAGTGAGTGTATTTTTCATTTTTCTAGCAAGGTTATAAGTCCACGTCTGTTCATCTTTGGTAAAAAAATATGTATCATATTTATTTCGTATTAAATTTATGTAAAATTAAAAAATTATTATTTTATATTTTATATTAATATATTAAATAAATATATTTTTTATTTTAATAAAATTCATATATAATTTTTATTAAATTTAAAACATACTTTATTTTTAATTTTTTTATCGTTTTGATATCACATGTAAAATTATCATATCTTATTCGAGGATCTACAATTTCCTATTAAGTCTAAAGCATTTAAATAGTTAACAAATTCATTCTACAATTTATGTAATGGAGGTCTCTTGCAGTTACAGATATATGGTTAATTTCTTCTCTATGAGAGCATATTTGCAGAAATAAAAGTGAAATTATACCGTACAAACATAGAGAATGCAATGGATTCTGAAAATATAACTTTAACTAGTGTTTCAATTTATCAGAAATAAAATTAAAATTTGGTATTCAGATAGGATTAACATCAGATAAATCTCTACATGGTTATTCACTAATCAACTTTTTTTCCCTTTTTTTCTGTTCTGTCTCAACTCTCAACTCGTTGTTTTTTATAATTCACCACTGCAAAGCAACTTATATTTGTTGTAATCTTACAAGTTACAACAGGAAACTGTACAAATTGGACCAACATTTTTAACTAGACTCAATGGATTTTTAGCCTTGTGGGAAATTTTCAGTATGTTTGGAAGGATAGAATGTCCACTTCTGTAAGAGGAGATAGACAGATTCTTTTAACGAAGGGAGTAATGTAATCATTGATAGACAAAACATTATTGAAATCATGAACATCGCCAGCAATAGAACCAGGAAAACCAACTGCGATTGGAAGCATTTTGGGGTGTAACAGGAGATTGTGGTTGCAATTCCTCTGTAGATTGCTTCTGCTCCTTCTGCTCCTGCTGCTGCTGATTTACTGACTGTGTCTGTAATCCCTTGTTATTTTGGTCACCACTCGCACAGCTAATTCTTCCAGCATCATTACCTGCCAACCTGAAATAAAACAAAACAAGTTAGTGCAATGCTTTTGGTGGCTAAATAGCCGATGAAGCAAACATCTCCAGCACTGGAAATCCTTTTTGCTAGATTGAAATATGTTTTAAACAATGCACACCCTATTAAAGTTTACACATTAGAAGAATGCTGGTAATAAGAACATGACAGAAATAGATGAATCATGAAATGTTGTCAACAGAAATGCCACTAAAAATTCAGCCAGTGGCGGATCACCTTTTTAAGCCTAAAAATTGAAAAATAGGAAAAAAATTTTCTTTGAACATCCCAAAATTTTTCTCTAAACACTCTTTCCGTCGATAAGATTGATAAATCCGTTAGTAATTTTTCATATATATTATACGTGAACACTTTCAAAAAATAATATTGAATTCGCCACTGAAATCAGCACATTGGATCTATCAAAAATATCCCTCAGATCCTCCTAAAAAAGCAGGAAAACAAGCACATGTGGCTGATACTGACAAATCTTCTATTGATAAATAGTATATACTGTATATTCATGCAGCATAATGAAAATACAAGCTTTCAAGTAGCAAATTGGTGTTTTAGAAACTTCAAAATATGGTATTTTCTTAATGCATGGAGTCATGGATATAAGATTAAAAGAAAAATAAATAGCAACTTACACAGGGAAGGCAAAGGAAAGAGTGCTGTTATTGCTCTCATTGGAAAGGCGAGAGATGCTACTGGTAGGTGAATTCTGGACCTCTACAGGGAATTTTTTTTCCTGGCTATGATTGCCAGCAATTGCGCCTAGGTCCACTGTTGGGGTATTGCTAACTGGATTGTGAACTTCCTCAGCCGGAGGCATCTTTTGGTGGCTATGATCTGCCGCAACTTCACTGGTCTCGACCACCGTTGTTGTATTCTTTGACATTTCTGTTGCTCCTGAACCCTTCTCTACATTTTCATTCCTTGCTGCCATGTCGTCTAATTCTTTCAGAGAAGGCAGCAGGTTACCTTGAGCAATGATCTGCTCATCTAACTTGGTCAATTCTCCAGACTTATATAACATAAAAAATTGATCCTTTGAGAAGCTGCCATTTCCAACGTGAATGCTAAACAGTGATTCATTTGAAGCAGTGCTCCAATCCATTGGTGTTGCAGGCTTACTACTAAAAATGGATGATGGTATCCGATTTGGCACATAGCCACCAGCTGGAACTTGCTCTGCAGCCATCTGATTATCTGGGGACTTGTCATTTGAACTCGCAAACGAAACACGAATAGCTGTTGGTGATTTGAGTTCAGGTTGTTCAGATTTCTCAAGTGGTTTATTATCATTATTTCCAAGAATATCAACATGGTCATGAGAATCTGACGAGGAAGAAGAGGCTGAACTTCCATGCCTCGAAAGAGATTTAATCTCATTACTATTAACTTCAAAATCTGTTAAATGCTTGCTGCTTCCATCCCCTTTATCATCCACAGCTTCAACTCTATGACTAGTTCCCATATTCTAAATCACAATTGGAATTCAACTGAGGTGCGAAAAAAGGGAAAAAAAATCCAGACATAAGTTTTTTTGTTAAATATTATCGTTCTTGATTTCTCAACTAAAATCTATGTAACAAATAAATGGAATTTAATTTTTAAATTTAATTCAGTTGGTTCATGCATATACCTTTAAAAGATAACATCTAACATATATCATGTTGGAATTTCAATATCTATAACCTCTTATCCCTAGAGTATGGCCTTCTACATATAAAAAAATAAATGGAAATTTTAACAAGATTTTAATTTAGATTTTTCCATGATATGAATAATTGCTCGATTCAAATACAGAAAAGAACATACAGAAACATCATATAATTATGAAAGAAACACAATCATAAAACATGAACATAAATGAATCAAAACTCACTTAAAACCTTCAGAACTTTCTTGATATCTTCAATCTGTCACCTTTTTTGTTTTGAAATTTCAAAGATTGAAGCTGCTAAAAGCTTTTTGGGAACATGAAAAAGAAATCAAAGAATGTAGGGAAAACTAAGAAGAGAAGAATTGGACATAAACAAAAAGATTTGTGTAGAGTTGGTGGGGTGTTACAAAACTTAAAAGGGATGGCAAAGAGAAGATTTCGGGGTGGGTACTTTATCTTTGGTTTAACCAATGTAACAAATTTTTTGAGTTATTTTGGAGAGTTGTTAGAGCCATTTTCTTCTGTAACAACTTATGCTCCGGGGGTTTACATAGACTCGTAAATGTTATTATATTATTATAATATAATTTATAATTGAAATTAAAAACGGTTTTTTTTAAAAAAAAAAACTGATGAAACAATGTCTATTAATTTATACTCCATTTTAAATCAACTAAAAGATTGATTCTGATAAAATTAAAATAACGATAAACATGAGATTATTTATTATAACAATGACATTAAATATTTATAATGATAAAATTAAAATCAGTAATGAGATATATATTTAGATGTGAAAGCAATGGTCGCATTGAGATAAAATATAGTTAAAAAAGAAAATTACTATTAGATACGTTGTTTAAAGTTTGGATTTAATGAATTTATTTAACATTTACTCCACCTCATTTTATTTGTTTAGCTTTTTATAATATCCCAAAACTATGTCCTCTTGCCTTTTTAAAACACTTAAATGTTTTATTTTTTCTATATCCTAAAATTATTTTTCATAATTTTTTTGACTTTTTGTAATTAGAAATTATGGAATTTTAAATTTATGAGAAAAATTAAATTTAATATTGTATAGATTAAAGTCAAAGTATTTTTTTTTAAATTCCGTAAAAGTTAATGGGAGAATAGCATTATGGGATGGGGGAGTTTATGTTAATAAATAATAAAAAAAATATTAAAATTAATTTTATGTCAAATAATAATTTTTAATAAATTAAAAATAATTATTTATAATAATTTTTGTTATAAATAATTGAAAATTATTAAAATTACTAAAAATGATAATTTTTATGTCAAATAATACTTTTGTTCAAAATTGATAAAAATATATTTACACGTATTAAAACTTAATAATGTAATATTAGCTCAACTAATTATTTAACATTAATTGTATTGTTTAATCAATTATTTATTAATTATTTATGTATTTATTTATATGATTATTTTTATATTAAAATATTAATTATTTTTAAATTATAATTATGAATTATTTAAATTAAATTAAAAATTAAAATTGTTGATTTACTTTATTATTTATATAGTTATTTATTTTAATTAATTAGTTAGTTATGAAAATGTTTATATTAATCATTAACTAATAATTTATTCATGCATTTATTTAATTTTTAGTTATTTATTTATTGATTATTATTATGTAGTTATATAAATTTATTTCTTTATACAAGGTTATTTGAAATTTTTTAATAAAAAGTGAAAAATAAAATAATAAAAATAAAGAAAAAACGAATAAAAAAGATAAGGGTTCATGGTAGGGACATTTTCATCTTTGCATTGTAATTAGAAGGGTAAATAAAACAAGTTGAAACATAAGCATTTGTAAAAAAATGAAGTTGCAATGGGAATAGATTTGATAATTTCAAACATGACAAGATAACATAACATGGAAAAAATCATAAATGTATTTTAAAAAAATATATTTCGTACTTATTTGTGTTAACACGAATTTCGATATTATATAATTTATATCTTATATGTGTTAATACATCTAAACATATATAAGACATGAAAAACATATTTAGATAAAATGTCTCATATGGGTATATATTTAACACGTGACACAATATGAAATATATATTTAATTTAATCTTATTATAGGAATACATGTTTAATATGTTTAACTCATTTAATACGTTTTTTATATTTATTTTAATTTAATATAAGCATATAAAAATTATTTTAATTTTTAATCTTTTGATTATGATACTTAATTACCTATTTAATACCATATAAATATTATTTTAAATATTTAATTATTATATTCATTTAATAATTATTATAAAATTATATTTATATTAATAATATAAATATAATATAAAATTAATATTAGTCTTATATATCATTATTTTATTATTTAATCTTTAATAGTTCATAATTTTGAATTTAATACTAAAAATTAATATACTTATGTAGTGTATATTAAAATTTAAATATATATTAAATACATATTATATGAGTATTAAAATTTTTATTCTTTTTAATATGCAAGTATTTTTTTTATATTATTAATATGTCAAGTTTATTAAATTATTAATAATGGATAGTTTATAGTTATTTATTATTTTAGTCATATTTATGTATATATTAGTATTAGTGGTGTCTCTTCATATATATTCATGTTAATTATGTTTATTTATATACATTTATATTATTTTATGTTTATTTATATCATGTTTAAATGAATTAATTATATACATATTAATTATATTGTGTCTTATATAATATATATAATAAATACGTCGTATTCATATTTAGAATTTAAACATATTTTATAATTTATATTATATTTTAATAATTCGTGTCATTATATATATCAAACACGATAAGAAATACAATACAAAAAACACAACTTATCATATTTCAGTGGGAAGAAAAATTCTCATCGGATCCCTTAAAGGTTCAACCCCGATTGGAACTCACAATGATGGTTAGAACTTCAATCGCCCTGGATACTATCAGATGTCTGGTGCATTTGGTAGCTCTAACAGTGCCGCACCATAACTTTATCAATGATCTAAACGGGCCCTTAGTAAATAATAACATGTTAATATGGATTGCAATAGAGAGTAAATAATTAGATATCTAGTATTATTTGATCCAATATCTAAATTTGAATTAACTTTTTTTGAAATCGATCCGATCTAAATCAGATTTTATTAATTTTATTTAGTTTGGTTCATTATTTTTATATATTATTTTAATATAATTTTAATATATTTAAATAAATTTAGATATAAAATAATTATTTTTATTTATAAAAATTTAAAATTATATATAAAAGTTAATGAAAATATATAATCAATTTGGTTTTATTTTTTTGTTATTCACTTCCTAATTTGAAATTCTATTTAAACTTAATATATATTTAATATCTAAATTTAATACTAATCGAATAAGAAAAAATCGATCTAAATTGAACTAAATACTATAATTTTAAATCGGTTATGATTTTTCTAATCTTTTCTCACTCATAGATTTGATAGATTTGGATGCTTATAACAAATAATTAACAAATTCAGGTAGTAGTTTTATTATCCATGACGAATTCGGATAATATTTGGATAGTATCTCTAGATATTTAATAATCAAATCTATTTAAATTTTAAAAAATAGTAATAGATATTTCAATTCGTATATGAATATATTACCTATTTATATATATAAAATATGTAAAATTTTATACTTGTGAAAATGTTCGAAACTTAACAAATAATTTTTATTTGTTATTAATTAAGAGTGAACTTAAATTTTAAATTTAATTTAATTTATTTTATATTTGGACAAAAAACTTAAATAATTTGATTTTTTCATGACAAATTGTAATGATATTAGTGATAAATGAGAAGAATATTTTCAATTTTCTTTTTGTATTTTCTAAAGTCATACATTTTCTTTAAAAAAAAAAAACTATCTAATATCTCTTTAAATTTATATTATTATTATATTCTGTCTCCTTTTTTTCATCTTTTTTTTTAGAAATGTTATAAAACTATATCATTTATTTAAACATCTAAAACGCTCATTTTTTTATATTTTAAAATTATTTTTTATGATTTTTTTAATTTTTTGACATTAAAATCATGAAATTTTAATTTTATAAAAAGATTTATAATTTTAATATTAAATATATTAAAGTTAAAAATTAATTTTAAACTCTATAAAAATCAACACCGCCCAAACAATTTGAGACGGAAGGAATAGCTAATAATTTTTTATATTCAATACATATGTAATAATAATATAAAATCTCAATACAAATTTTTAATATTTATTATCAGGATATATAAAAAAAAAAAAAACGGAATCAATTTAAATAGTTAAGGGTTGTTAAATATCTCGCATTTATCTACTTATTCCATGATACTAATTAATTTGTAGTTCTTTTTTCTTCTTCTCCTAAATTATCAAAATCGATTTATATATTCTCTAAAAATATTGATTTATATATTTTTATTCAAATCATAAAACTAAAAATAAACAATTTCACAACATAAAATTGTTTTCCAATTCCGGCCCCAAAAAGTCCTAAATTCCTAATGCTATTTATGACAAAATACTTCACTACTTAAATAGAGAAAAAGCTGTTCAACAATGGTTTCCATCTGCCCTTTAACTGTAAGCTTTGGCCTTTAATCTTTCCTTTATATATATATATATATATATATATATATATATATATATAAAACTAGTCTTTAGGCTATAAATGTACATTTTAATATTATCATGAACTAGTTTTAAGTTCGTGCAATATAAGGGTATATAATTATATATAAAAATAATTAATT